AAGAAATCCACATCCTCGCTCTGGAATAAATTACTGTTGAAACATCAAAGTTGTTGCAGTGTTTTTTGTGTTTTTTGCATCTATGCAATTCAAAGCGCATACTGCCGAGGCGTTGTCTGTGTGTTTGTTTGCCCGTACCGACTTTTCACCTCGAGACTTACAAAAGCTACAAGGCTGAAACTTTCGGGGCTTAATCTACATGCATGTACGGGTTTTTGTCCTCAAAATGGACGCTTCTGCCCACGTGTTTCCCAGATACGGGCCTGTGAAAGGTTTTTGCAGATAAGTCGCTAACTCGTGAACCGGAGAAGCTAGGTAGCTGAAACTCTAAGGGAATGTTTCCTCACAGTTGTGGTAGCCAGTCTCAATTCCTTTAACTAGAAGCATCTGCCGAAAAAAACCGTGACAGTGGCGACAAAAACTTGCTGGGAATTGTGCAAAAAACACATCTTCGCATCGGCAGTCAGTGCGCTGGCCAATTTTTCCTCTTGAGGCAGACTCATGTGCAGGGGAGATGTAACAAATTACGCATTTTATACTGAGCAACAGAAAGAGAATGTGGTGCAATAGGAGCTACGGTCACCAGCACGTTGACCACCAAGTAATGCAATACTGATTACGACAATGATCGATAAGGTTGAAAATAATGATATAGTAAGAAGTAAGCACTGCAGGACGACAGCTGATTATGGCATACAGAGATGAAAGAAGATCAGCAAACCGTTTGTAGTTCAGGAAGTCCCATACACAGTAGCATCGAAAACAACGAGACAAACAGTTTGGCGCGCTCATGCAATATCAAATATGCGTCTGTGCATAATTGCTTGAATCTGAAGTAGCAGTTAAAAAATTAAGAGAAGCCGATTTCTTATTTGAAAGTACGAAGCTTGATACACCGAAATCGTCGCCAAGGAAGAGCAGGTAGATTACGATATTAGATGATGAAAATTTCAAACTATTCATTGGCATTTTAAAGCCACATGCTAGCAGAATGTTGGTGAATAAAACAACTGCTAAGGCGACCTCTAGAAAAACTGTGTTATGCATGTGTGTATGCATGTACATATGTATGCATATAAAAAGTGTGTTTGAAGTGTAAACATTCATGACTGTATGTAAAAACTATATGTTCCTTTCCTTACCCCGTTTCAGTCATCTAATTGGGAATGCACCTGCATTCGCAGATGTTTGCCCTTTTGTTATTTTCGCCTTTCAATCCTGTTAATCTCTTTAAAACCTTTCATTCCATTTTCTCTTTTGCTATTTCGTTTTACCCTATTCATCATTTTTCACATTTTCGTACATTCCAAATCTCTCTCAAAAATTATCATATCTTCTTTTAGAGCGGTTCTTAATTCCCGGTTTTTAATTCCATCCATTCCTTCTATCGGGGCCTGGGATTTTCTCCATCGGATTTTTGACAGTCGATATCATCATCACTCGACTCGACCCTCGAGGGCCAATATCTATTCACCTGCTGTTCGCTTGTTCAGTGCCTAACACCTCTTGTCCGACAAGTCCCCAGATTCATTACATCCCGAGCGCCACACTTCGCACTATTTATCTGCTATTTGTATGCCTAATCACCAGTAAGCCGCAAATATACTTTTGTTTTTTTTTAATATTTCATACACAGTCAAGGTACCACGCAACACTACAATCCACCACACTTAACAAGTTCCCCCAAATCATAAAAAATTTTACTGAAGGATGCCGAAGGGACCATAAAAATTGAAGGTCACAAAGCATAAAAGAACTGCGCTTGTCGTATGAGAGCTGCAGTAATTTCTTACTTCTTGTACTCGTGACTTTCCTGATAATTGGCTTTTCCTTTGGCGATGACGCACAGGAAATGATCAGTGAGCACGAAGGGCACGCGGTCACGGTTGATGCCTAGCTTCTTTTTATAGTGCCCCAGAAAATGCCCAAAATCAATGTGAAACAGCTGTAAAGCGAGTTAATCATGTAAAAAATGTTCAAAAAATGATCGCTTTTCTCTCCCGTTTATCCCATTCTTCCATTTACGCTGGAGACTTCAAAGTGGTCAGCCTAGAAGTAAAGCAAAAAAACAAATCAAGTAGCGTAAAATCCAGTCAGAGAAAGGCAACAAACTTATTTAAGGCAGGCGTAGAATTTAGCCAGTGCAGCGAAAAATCTGGCCAGAAAAGCGTACAATTCAGCAGAAGGGGAATCCGGCAAAAGGTGTTGCAGGGCGCTAAAATGGTAATTTCGAAAGGATGAAAAGTGAAGGGTAAACAGCGTTTGCCGAAGGATTCAGAAACACCATCACATGCTGAAACACACAAAATGCAAAAAGTGAGAAGGGCGTCGTTCTGCCGGAAACGCTATTTTAGATGGGCGGCACTCAGAATGAAGTGACCTTCAACTGTCTGAAAAATTGAGTAATTTCACTGCAACAATAAGGTTTTGTAGAATTTCTTGCAAAAAGCAATGAATGAAGAACATACCCTCCCATCTTTGGCGAGCATAATATTATCTTGGTGTCTGTCTTTAATTCCCAGTACATAAGTTGCGACACAGTAACCTGCACAGGAAGCAGTGAAACGATCTACTCCTTCCAAGTATCTGAAACACACATCTCAATCGTGTAATCATTTGAACAACCTTTCACACACGTAGTATTGATGCGTACTATAGGAAGACTTGGTGTCAAACCCAGGAAATAAGTGAAGGCGGAAAAGGTGGTAAAAAATGAACGAGGGACCGAATCCCCCATCCAACTCGGGACAATATGGATCTGATCTACGGAATTACAGCTGTACAAGAACAGAAAGACGGATTAAGCATACAGTTTGGTGTCCCCAGAGCAGTTCCGAATGTACTTGTTGATCACTCCGCAATCCATGCTGAATGTTGAGCCAAGCTGTTTTGCTGCACACTGAATTTCGAAAAGAGTATTGCAGTTCTGCACAACATGAATCATGCCAACCTGAATGTACTGTGCACTGATAAAAGGTCGTTCAGTAAGTAATGTTTCACACAACAAACGTGAAATTATCACCGAACAAGTCCATCACATCGACGTATCGAACTGTTTTTCAACATAAATAAGGCAATTCGTTTAAAGCAGCTATTTGCATTTTTGCAGGCAAATGTTAGATTCAGAGCATTGCTGGTACCGTAGAGAAAAGGTGCGAAGGCAACAGCAAGCAACAGACAAACCGAAGGGAGTTTTGACTTTTTGAATTTATGCCCAAATCGAAGTAAGCCTCGGTAAAAATCCGATAACAAGTAGGCTTCAGAAAGCAATTCTCCATCAGTGACCGAATTTAACGCAGTTGGTAGAATCAACTTAACACCGAAATGAAGTAACTGATAATCAGTGCTGCTGCGACTTTCGCAATACGCACGCTTCCTCTGTGTTAGGAGGCGTCACAAAGCATGAAGTTCTTACATTTCTTCCCATCGGAAGCACTTCATATATGCTCAAACATAAATCATAATCTCGACTTTTCCAAAACGCGTCCATTATACGCATTACTTGTAGAGTGAGCATGTCTTGTCGCAAATCTGTAAATTAAGATCACCAGAAATCGCAGGGCCGACTTGTTTTGAGTTAGCAAAATCATCGGACTCCCGAAAAAAGCACGCGGAACCTCAGTAACTGGCTAGCAAGATGCCCTCGAAGACGTTTACAAAAAAAACGTTAAGCTAAAAATTCTCGCGTTTTTTAACAGTGGCGTATTGCCTGAAGTGCTCACAAAAAGACTGCACAAGAAGCACATACCGTCGCCATTCTTGAAAATAATTTCATGCGTTTCACTGTGTAATCGAGCGAGAGGCTCCGGATTTGTCCAAGTGAGTCGCAGTGGCTGCTTTGCGCTCCCTATCACTTTACACATTTCAGTCCTAAAAACAGAAAAGACTTTAGAATGCTACAGTCCGAAACAGCTCGCACCAAATGGTATACCGAGAGATTTCATCAACTCACTTTAGTGCACCGAGACTATCAGAAGGGTCAAGCGGCGAGATCATATTCTGCATTATTTCCACATAGGATGTCAGTTCTTTTTGTAAATGCTGCAAATACATTCAGAAATTTCTCGCACTGTTCGAGCCAAAAAAAAAAGCTGCAAAACTACACAGATTGGTCTTTTTGATAGCTGTTGAACGGGTCGTATCGCTGAGCAGTCTCGTAAACAGACCGGCCAGAGAGTTTCGGAAAAGCCACGAAAGGAGCTGGCCGAGCAGACGTCAAACTGAAGCCAAGCAGCTTTAATTACGGAGGCTTAGCACCAGCTATCCTGGCATGTAGCTGCATTTCAGTGCCACCGTACACAGTGACAGATGATCACGACGGGGTAGTTATGATTTTAGTAGCAATACCGAAAATACCAAAATACTTTAGTGGCGCATTCTTTGTCCTTCATTGATTTGATGATTTTACTCAGATTTGTCAATCTTGCAACCATATCTACTTGCCGCAACATCGAGTGCAAATGGCTGTAATTGCCTCGACAATAAGCTTCAATTAACAACGCAAAACGTTTATAAGTTTTTGTTAATTCTTGGCCAATTTCACCTGAAAATAAATGTTATTCGAAGTTCCATCAAGCTGGAACAGCAGGCCTCGTCGAATTCTCCATATGCGATGCAATATGTTACACTGATTGTGATGAAAATGGCAGTTAACTCACTTAGTTGTCCCAATTCAGCACGCAATAGCCAGAACAATATATGTCCAATACGATAATTACAAAGTGCCCTTTTTAAAAGCATTCTGGCCAAAGCACAGGAACCAAATGGTTCATATTTCAACACCTGAAATGCGTCAGTGTGCTGAAACAAGCAAAAAGCACCTAACTCAAAAGTACATAAAACAGGTCTCTTGAAATTTTCACAATGTGAAGGGAAAGCACTCTGAAATAGCAACATTTTGTCAAAAACAGTTAATGTTAACAGAGCTCTGGAAGGATCGTTCTTTCAATAGTTACTGATAAACAGAAGTGGGTTCTGGCGTTCTGGCACTTGCCAGCGCCAGTGAATTGACGTATCATACGGGGAAAATGACTTTTCAACCAAAGCACTTAAACTACCGACCTAAGCCTAACAACATCAGCCACTTAGAGTTGCCCACAAGCATCTTTTACATAGAATTCACGATCAAGCGGACTGTAAATCTGGGCACTGAGTCAACTATAATGTAAGCTGCTGTCAGAGGTAGAATAAACTATGCATATTTCCATAAAAGGCAATCACCTGGACCAAAGGCATCACATAAAGATGCAGTCTGTCGTTGTCAAGCGATTCATCTAAGCAAGCCACTGCAAATTCTCGCACCTTTCCATCAGCATATTTGAAATCGAGCAGCTGCAGCGCAGTCTCCGGCTTAATTCTACCCCAACGTGTGAGCAGCTCGCGCATACGTGACAACTCGTCTCTCCTGTTCCAGATGAGCACGGAGCGTGCAATAAGTGGAAGCAAATTTGGTCCGTATCGCGCTATTAACTCTCTAAAGCACATACGCCAAGACACAATTATCAAGTGGTGGTAACCGAGCAGTAAATCCAAAACAGCACAAATTACCTCGCTTCCCAGAGTCGTTCAATCTGGCTGTCTGTTATCATTTCGGCGTTCTGAGAAGCAAATGAAACCAGAAACTGTTCAAACCCACAGCCTGGCTGCAAAAATTTTATGCCAAAAGAAAATAGATGTGTGCAATTAGCACATGTTCCTGAAAGGACGGGAAAAAAGCGAAAAAAGGTGATGCCAAATTTGGCGACAGCAATTACGGGTAGTTTGCCAGCTATGCTGGTGGGTGGGATAGCGTGTGATACGATGAGATGACGATTGATCAAAACATCAAAGAAACAACAAAATATATGTAAAAATGGTGCAGGAATCATTCACCTAAGCCTATTCGTTATTGCGGCCCTAAAAGTTAATATTCTAGGCTAGTGGCGTGCCCTGTATGTATGTATGTGTGTGTGTGTGTGTGTGGCAAACAACTAGTTATATGTGTATGTGTATATGTATATATACATATGTATATATATATGTACATATATATACGTACATGTGTATATATAAGTACATACACATATATGTACACACATACATATTTATAAATACATGACTTAACTAAAGTAATACAACAAAAAGTAAATTAATAAAAGGCAGTACAAAAAGGACGGCACCAAATGTGCAATCACATGCGGAACATGAATGAAATGTACTAAACATACTGGAAATGATGAGCAGGGAACGGGGACTCCTGAGTCATGAGAACTCAGCTTTTTAACATATTCGCTGACTGCCTCTGATGATGGGAATTCCACGATACTTCCGTAATCTTCAAACTCCACTTCGATGCGCGCACTGTCGCGATTATCATTTGATCCTACCTGCAATAATCGCTGTCTTTGCCTGGAGGAGAAAGCCTTTGATCCCGTGATCAATGAAGAGAGAGTGTTATACCGTGAAAGTACAAATGTTACATACAAACGCATCTCCAAAAGTCAAATACACTGGCCTCAAAAAACAGAGAAAAAAATCATTAATCAAGTCAGAATCAAAATATTCTCTATAATTCACCTTCTGTGTTACTGCTGGGACTTGGAAACAGTCTGAATGAGGACCTTACGCCAACAGCTGTTATACATTGGGAAGGCACTGACAGTTTTTTTCATTCGATGTTTACTTGAGAATAAAGATAAAAAAAAATTCGGCCTCGCCGTATTTTTAGACAAGACGCACTAAATTTTTATTGAAATATCAACAAATCACAGAAAAGCTGATTTTGACGACAGTCCATTTGAATGATGCGAACAAACGAAGGAGTAAGGGTCGTGCATCAATACAGTGGACCCCCGGATAAACAAACTTTACTAGTCAGGGAATAAAAAATAGCCTTATTACGTCACTCATCCTGGTTAGTTACCTGGTTTCACTTTGAGGGAACACAGAATTTTCCCAGATTTAATAGCAAGAGCCATGACAGCAATGGTCATTCAACTAAAGATGGTGTAATCCGCAAATTCGAGAAATGCAGAAAGTTTACATCCATTTTACGCATAGGTCCTAACAAATGAATTTTACCGGTTATGAGTTGGGTGAAGCTACAAGGCGACAAACTTTCATATGAATTTATTTAATTTCAAAAGCAAAATGGCAGCAACCTGTCCGCTCGGATTGATCAGCTCAGC